TTGAGATAGATTCTTAAACCCACAAGTACCAAAATTCATGCCTAGGACCACAGATCCTTCGGTACGTATGCTTTGGCAAATTTTCAATCACACACTCTTGCATTCATTCATTCATTTACACATTCATTCAACTTTTATTCGCGTAAGCTTGTGGCACAAAAACCTCTGGGGGACTCTTTTCTAAAGTACCGATGTTGTTACCACGTACAAACAGCATGAAGCTTCCCATGGATTACCACGAGTTATCATTATCACTGTCGGAATCGCCTCCATTCGACAGCGTATCGCCACGGCAGTGACAAGTGTAATCTCCATTTTAATTTTATGAAACCTTATACCTTTGTAAGAAAAAAATATAAAAAAATATAAAAAAACAGAGTGACTAGAAAGAAGGAAAGAGACAGGAAAAAAAAAGTAGAGAATGATGTTAGATGATTGCTGTTTCTTAATACCTCGTAGTTTCATGTGCAAGGAACTCGCTGGCGCACATCCTATGAGCGCGAGGGTACATGTAACGTACCATCTATAAGTACAGAAAACGGAGGTGTTGATCAATAGTTGGTATATCAGAGACAATGGCGTACTTTGTCTATATATATATATATATATATATATACTTGTATATAAAACTATCCATATATCACACACAGAGAAATAGAGAATATATATAAAATAATAGAGCGAGAGATAACGGGATGGAGGAGAATGGTAAGTTCCCTTTCTCTCATAAGGCGGCGAGTGCATATATTAGAAAAAAATAGAAAAAAAAAGAGAAAAGGTGACACGTCTCGCCATCCAGTACTTACAATGCGAAGCACGAGTATGAACGAGACGAAAACGACGGCGATCCAGAGATCAAATGAGAGAAAGAGATAAAAAAAAAAAGGAAAGTAAAAAAAATGAGATCGATACAAAGTTAACAGAAAAGCAAGGCTTACCCCTTTCTTATACGGCGCCTCCAGCATCGCCTCGACATCCAAATCCTCCGCCATTACGCGAGTCGGGGAGCTCTCTGAAACGCCACGCATTAGCAGACCACAAAGTTTCACGCTGCTTGCGGACAAGAGAAGAGATACGTGAATTACGGACGGTTCTTGGTACTGAGCTATCGGCTACAAGCTACAACGTACAGACGACAAGCGCTCGAAACGAGAGCGAACTACGACCCAGATTAACACCGCAAGAATGCTCGTTACACGCCAACGACAACGAGCGGAAGATCCAAGACAAGATGGCCGATACCGGATATGATGGACATTCCACTTCAGCTTCTAACGCCCCCACCGGAAGTGACGCTCATCACTACGTGAATCGTTCAGCAGCCATTTGTTCGGTCATCAGCAAAATATAATCAGACACTCAAGCGGGGAGCACAGACTCTTGCATAACGCATAACACATGAGGCATAAGAAATTGAACCAACCAGAGTTCTCTATTACATGGAAGGGAAAGAAACGGAGAACTTCGATTGGTACATATTCTTATGCATTACGTGTTATGCGTTATGCAAGAGTCTGTGCTACCCGCTTCAGTCGGAATCAGACTATGCAATATGCATCGAAGATTGGCCACGTTCAGCAAACTCAACTGTTGTGGAGAGGATCCGTGAGCGCTCGCTGCTACTATTGGATGATCTAGAAGAATACACCAATAGCAGCGAGCGCTCACGGATCCGCTCCACAACAGGGGTGCGTTCCGTTTTTCGCATAATGCGCATAATGCGTCGTTTATCCTTGTTGCTCACCAAATGTTAAACAAGGACAATGGATGCATCATGCGCATCATGCGCAATACGGAACGCACCTCAGTTGAGTCTGCTGAACGCGACCATTGAGATTGAAGATTAAAGATTGAAATGTCACCAATGAGAACAAAGAAATTCAGGCTCCTTTTGTTCTGATCGGTCAAACTTCACTCTTTCAATCTTCAATCACTTCTTCAATGCGTAGTTTGATTCCGGCCAATGACAGACAGACTTGACGCTGTAGCTGCTTTTCATTTACACCGATTCTCAGATAATTCTCACTTGTGACGTCATAACTCATAGTTGAATGCGCGTTCCTTTTGCATTCTGACAAGTGAGGGTGGAGTCCCATGAAGCGTATTTGCCGCGTATTGCGTAACCGCGTAACCAATCAATAATCAGTAAAACACGAAATCACAACAGCGGATCGCTTCTGATTGGTTACGCGGTTACGCGATACGCGGTAAATACACCTCATGGGACTCCAGCCTGAGATTCAATTGAATTTTTACCCATAATCTGCACAAGATCGAGACCGTGTGCTTTAGTAAGTCTCGTAAACTCACTTCAAAGTGAGGTTATGAACCTGTGTTGACATGTGACAACTTTTTACCGAAGTAAGCAAGTATAGTGACGTCATTAATCTGAGTATAAAATACTCAGCTCACTTCAGACTCAGACTGCGGTCCACTTGCTTCTTCCAAATGCTCTGCGGGTGCCGTCACATGCGGCGTAACTTGCGTAAGCGTAATTTGCGCCTACCAATCATATCATTTCACTTGACATCAGTTTCTGTCTAGTCACTTTATGCTTTTTACGCTATTTTGTTGTTACGCCGAAACATGATAGAACCACTATGCGTCGAATCTAATTTCTGGCTCATTTTAGCTTATTCTGTCTGAAAAAATGCACAAGGGTTTCGATTTTGCAACAGTACAATTATAAAAGTCGTGCGCCCCTTTGCATCGCGTGAAAAGTCGAAACCCATGTGGAACAGTACAATTATAGACCTCATTTTGCCTCTGTGACAGATTTCCTAACCTCAATAGTCATCAACTTTAATGCTTAATATCTCAGATCACAAGGCAGAACGACGTTTTTTTTTGCCAGATTCTTTCGTTTCATGCAAAAACGCGTCGAATAAGCCTAAGAGTGGTTTCACAAAATTTTCCGATTTTAATAATTTATTCGATCATCCGCTCATATATACGCGATGGAAAGGTACCGGTTCCCCATGAGGCGTACTTTTCGAGATGCGTAGGTTACGAAAACCAATCGTAAATTCATTTAGCATTTCTGTTAAAGTGTACAACAGAAATTCTAATCAGCATTGGTTGCATTAGTTCCGCATTTCTCTAATCTTCCGCGAAATACGCTCAATGTGAGGGTGCCGTCCCATGACGCGTATCATTGTACGCGCGTATTCGCGTATCGAAGGATCCGACCAATCACCGACGATCCGCCGTTTTACGTACGCGCCGTTTATGCCTATACGCAACAATCAGCGGTTTATTTTTTATTAACGCTTAATATCTTGGTTCGTGGGGCAGAGCGACGCTTTTTTTGCCAGATTTCTTCCGTTTCATACAAAAACGCATCGAATAAACTTAATTTCATTGATTTTTGAAGTGGATTTTGAATTTTTCTATAATTACCACGAAATTATGGAAAATCAAGAAAATATGCCGTCAGCTGTAAGTATCATTAATGATTTTCTACGACTTAAGGCCCTACGATTGCTATGATTTCTATTGTAGACCTCGACGTCGATGCACAGTAAATATGGGTCGTACCCAAAATTGACGTTTGTCTTTTCCTTTGTTTCTTATATCTTCATACAATGCATACAAAAATAAGATTTTTCAACCCAGTATTTCTTGTTTAAAGGGATTACTTTGTTTGAATTTGTTTACTAATGTAAAAATTGCTAACAATATATAGTCTTCATTTGAATCCATTTTTTCTGTAACAAAAATAACATCTTATTTTGTACTAAATAGTACTGAATAGATTATAATTTCTTTCAATCAGGACTCTAATATACTACCGTATTTATTTGTATCTACCTTTTTGGTTAAGGAGCACTTCTACATGAAATAAGAATCGCTAACGATCCGCCGTTTTACGTACGAAATAATTTTGCCCTTAATGTCCCATGGAGCGGTTCGTGCGTAAGCGGATTAGCGGATCGCCAATTACAACATCATTCTGTTAGATCTGCTTGCAAATTTTGCAAGCTCCATGGGACATTAAGGGCAAAATTATGGCGTACGTAAAACGGCGGATCTTCAGTGATTGGTCGTATCTATCGATACGCGAATACGCGCGTACAGCGATACGCGTCATGGGACGGCACCCTGAATGCGGGCTTTCAGAATGGCGTATTCCAGTAAATAAAAGATAACGTATTCTAGTAAATTACTAGAATACGCAGGTTACGCTTACGCAGGTTACGCCGCATGTGACGGCACCCAGGGCCCCGATTCTCTAACTTACTCGTAACTTTGCGTATACGTAACTTACGAATGGTTCAAATACGCATACGTTTATCGTTCAATCATCGATATGTATTCTTTAAGACACAATGCGAGCGTTCGTATTTAGATTCGTGTACGTATCTTTTGCACGAATAGAATACGTGGCAACACTGGATTATTAACTATCTGTAGTAAAAACATCGAGTACTTGTCAGTAAGTAACAAATAGTCATTTAATAATAATCAGATCAGTACAGTGGTCTCATTTAGAGGTCTCACGCGAAAAACGAAAATGGATAAGAAAAAGCGCAGTGCAAATGTTACCGAAGAACAAAAAACATTATTATTACAATATATGGAAAAAAATCCGCGCTTCTTGTCGGATAAATTTAACAAATAGTCACTTAAATAATAATCAGATATCAGTACAGTGGTTTCATTTAGAGGTCTCACGCGAAAAACGAAAATGGATAAGAAAAAGCGCAGTGCAAATGTTACCGAAGAACAAAAAACATTATTATTACAATATATGGAAAAAAATCCGCGCTTGTTGTCGGGTAAATTTTCAGCTGATTTTACATATAAAGATGCAACCATCTTATGGCAAAAGATAACAGATATCTTAAATAGTTGCAATGGTATAAGTAAAGATTGGAAATCTTGACGGAAAGTAAGTATATAACGTATATTAACATGCTACATATAATAGATATAAATCGAATAATTTCTATTACATTAAAACTTATATTATCATGTTAATCATAATATTTTAGTGCTGGCAAGATTTACAATATCGTAGTAAAATGAAGCAAAGCAAAATAAATGCAGAACGAAATAAAACTGGAGGAGGGACTGAATCTAACCTAAAATTAAGTACAACAGAGGCAACAACATTAAATTTAATTTGTTCCACAAGTATTAATGGACACACAGAAATAAACGAAAGTGAGGTTCACATAGGATCAGACTCTGAGGTAAAATTCTACATGTATTTTTGTAATTGATAGGTTTTTTCTAATTTCTTCAATCTCTTCTATTTTACTTTACTTTCTTCTTTAGCCTTATTTTTATATTCCTTATTATAACATAATAGAACGCATGAATTTATGTATCTCTGCTTCTTATTGTTAGATACATTTTGAAATAATTGGAAATGAAGGGGAATATCTTCAGCAGAATGTAGGAGAGTTGATACAAATTGGTGAACATAATAATGCAGTCAATATTAACATGGAAAGCACTGAAGCAAACAACAATAAAGATAAAGAAAATTCATTAATTGATAATAGTGCATACAATTTAAATGAAAATGATAATAATGGTTCTCCAACTACACCAATAATTAAAAAAAGGGAAAAAAAGTTAGACAATGTTCAATCTATACAACAGCCAACAGAGATACTGGCAGAAGTAGCAAAACAAACTTACCAAATCCAAAGCTCTTATTATGACCAAAAGTTAATATTGAAGAAACGAAAGTTAAGACTTCAAAAAAGATTGGTTAATGCTGTTGAAAAATGCAATCCTTCATAATACAGCAAATTCTTGCATTGTAGATCTTTTATTTTTTCAGTTTTATTTTTATATGTTCCTATTTTTAAATTTAATATGAGCATAAATATTTATTATTCATATGTGTATTACGTATATTAAATATTATAAGTTCAAAGTTTGTCAATATATCCATGTTTATTATTAAATAAGAAGTTATTATGATTTATATGTTGAGTTCTACAGAGTAAAGACTGCATAAAAATTCTTTGTGATTCCATGTGATACTGCTTTTTTTTTATTATAAAGGATTCAAAAAATTTATGAAGTATGTTACATTACTATTTTATTTTATATTATATGTTATATATACATTTTAAATATTATGTATTAGATGTATGTTACACATTATATGTATAATGTATATATTCTATATGTAAGGTCTTTTCCGCATTCGTATATGTATATAAATATATATATCAACGAAAATAAGTACGAATCAATCTGTTTCGCAATTGTTTACCTGCTGCCAAATCAGGATTCACTCTATTTGTTCATTGTTATCACCGATGTACTGATTAAACATATCATCTTGCCAATCATCATCATATTGTGGGAACGGGATATTATTTTCTATACACATATTGTGCAAAATAGCACAAGCATTTATAATTTTGCATGCCGTTTGTGGTGAATAGTGTAAAACTCTGTGTTCCAATAAACAGCGAAACCGCATCTTTAATAAGCCATTGCAACGTTCTATTAAAGCTCAACAAGACATTTGACTCCTATTGTATCTTTCTTCTGGACTATTTACTTCTGCATTAATAATTGGAGTTAATAACCAAGGTCGTAGAGGATAACCAGAATCACCTAAAGCATTAATTGTTATTAATAGTTATTAATAGTTAATAACGCTTCTAAAATTTAAGTTACAAATATATATCACAAGATTACAAAATACAAATATATTTCTAAAATATTAATATAATATAGAATATTTCTTAAATGTCCATTTATCGTGTAGCGCTATTCTTGATCAAAAATTGAGTCAAAATATCCAAAAATATTTTTTTTTATATTTCAGTGGGCGAAATTTAAAAAAACACCTCATATATGTATATACTATACTATAAATAATATAATGTGTTTATACCTAGAAGGAAAAATGTCATATTTGGCCACTGTCTGTTGATTCTTTCCATTCCTACTTTTAAATTAGAATTATTCCATATGTATGTATCGTGTGTGCTTCCAGGGTAGCGAGCATTTATATTTAATATTTTTAAACGCCAATCACATACCTGAGTTAAAAAATTATATATAATATTAATACAAATGATATAATAACAATTCTAATCTTAAAAAGAACAACAATTATACGCTTACCAATTGTACATTTATGGAATGATATCCTTTTCTATTAACGTATAAATGTTCAGGATTTATGGCATCATGAATCTTTGGTGGAAAAATAGCTACGTGAGTGCAATCTATACATCCAATTACTCCAGGAAATCTATGGCTATCATAAAATCTAGAAATGTATTATAATGTCTTATTATAGTAGTTTAGAAAAAAAATATATAAATTAATATTAAAATACATATTTAATATTATATTGTTAAAGAATTAAATGTACTAACTGTTGTCTTAAATATTTTAATTCATTTAAAATTCTGGGAAATTTAATCCACTGGTTCGTTATATCTGCCTGATTTAATGCATCTACTACTTCATTAATACATCTAGATACAGATGCTTGACTTATAGCAACATACAAATTTTGTCCTATACCTGTTTGATAACTACCATATGCAAAAAATGTAATGCTGTCAATATCTATAAACCAGAATTAAAAATTAAACTAACATGTATATATCTTAATAATATTATATAATTGGACATATATATTTTAACATATAATACTGTGTGATAGTATTTTTCACAAATGAAAAAACAAAATTATTCTTGAAGATAGAGACGAAATCTAGCGCATAGACATGCGTTATATTCTCATTATACGATATACGCCCATACTAGATTATATCTCTATTTTTAAGAACAATTTAATTTTTTTGTGAGAAATAGGAATTGTTCTGAGAAGAAAGAATTATTTTTTTATGCGTGTAATATAATTCTATACATTTATGTACATAAATTTCTATATTTATACTTACTTTTGTTTTAATATCCAACATAGATCTTCGCTGCCTCTGCTTCATGTATGGTGTTAAATCTCTTATTAGATAACGCACTAATGGTTTTGTTAAATGAAATAACTTTAAAAATTTTTTGTCAACCAAATTAAATGCATCAGCTGCTATGTGTCTTGCACGACGATTTCGCCGTGCGACAGCTTGTTGAGCATT